AAAAAAAAAAAAAAAAAAAGTCTGAAAAAATTTAAATCTATATTAAGTCAGTAAGGTAATTAACAATAAAACTAAATAATTGGCCAGAAGGAGTCTGTTGCAACTAAAGCCTTTTAAAACAAAGATATTTAAAACATTTCTTTTTCTCCTACCTGGATGTTGAAATACTGTACTAATGCTTCAGAAAATAATTATATTAATAAAACATCAACAAGTTACTGATAAACATTTTAATTGATTAAATATATTATTTTCAAGATCTTTTTGAAATCGCACTTGTACTGTTCTAATCAACAGCCAAAGGCAATAAAAAAAGTTTAAAACCAAAAATATTCTGACGTGAACACATGACAGGAACCGCTGCTATGTAAAGTAACATATACAGTTCCCAAGAACAATGATATTTTTAGGAGATAATTCATCTTAACATGTGCATGAACAAATTTGTAATCAAAGGCTGGAAGAAATATATATTAGTGCCTGCTTTTTAAAAGTTTATTTTACATTTTAAATACAGTATTTTTCTCATTAAAAAAAAAATCCAGGAAGTGCCTAACTCCATGGTTTCTATACCATATGTACATGAGAGCTGACAGCCTGACAAATGTTCTAGATGTAACAGCATGGACACCTATGAGCTGGGACTACTTCTGAATCAAAATTTAAAAACACAAATTAAGCATTGCTTAAGAAAAAATAATCCAGTTTCTGAACAACCAAAAGAGAACAGAGTCAGATATGTACAATACCAGGTATTATAAGACAGAAAGAAATAAAGCACACAAAAAACTCAAATAGCCCATATGTAGTGAACTGAATATATTGCAGCTAGTCAATGGAAATCCTCCTATAAGAAGTGATTTATGAACAAAAGAAAAATAACAAAACAAAACAAAAAGAAGTGATTCATGATTTAAAATTTTAAAAATCTAAGTACTTCAGCAACATGTAATAACAACATTGAGTATATATATTGCCATCTTTGTCATTTTCTATACCACTATCCCTCTGAAAACAAGAATCTCTAGACTAGCCAATCACTTATACAAATTTGAGGCAATTAATCCATGTTTGTTTTCAGTAAGGAAAACAAAGGTGTACCTCTTCCTGCCAATAAAGAAATAATACAAATTAAAGCTATAAAATTTAAGCATGGGCATACGTATTTCCAATTCTCCTTAATAAGTAATTCCAAACTGGAATAAGTAAGGTTGTGTCTAAGTAGTAACAAATTAAAAGAAAACAGACTTACTCTGGCAGTGATTTCCATATTAGTGCAGTGTTACTTCCCATATGCTGAATTATATTTAAATGATCTTATGTATTTTAATTCAGTAGGTGCCAATTTGAATTTACAAAATCCCTAATTGTATTATTTGTGCAAAAAAGTTTCAATTTGAGATACTCTATGAAGCCAAATCAAAACGAAACGGAAAACCTGTATTTTGCTGCCAGTAGTATGAATAACAAATAAAGATACAAGGATTCAAAGTTTGTGGAAGCTCCTGAAGAAAAATCTCTGAGGTGTTCTATGTACAGTATCCTGATACTTCAATTATCAATTAGTTTTGAACATTCTAGTTTAAGATTATCTCAGAAAATAATTTTCTGTAATGTAACTCTGAACAAAACAGCTATACTCAAAGTAAAAACAATCTGGGTCATTCTGAACAAGATCAAACTGAGGCCATTTCTTTTTCTATTATAATCTGTGAGGTCTTGAGTTTTTAAGTTTTAAAAATGACCTTTAATCAAAGCCAGCTGTACCTGATATAGACTTATTAACTTAAGGATTTCAAATTAGAGGGCACTGTAACTACGGGCTCTCATAAGACATATGGAGCAGGCAGCAAAGGACTAACCATCAGGCGGGTAAGGTCAATGTTGGGGTGTTTTATTTTGGAGACTTTAAATATTTAACATGTAGCTCATGTAACTTCAGCATCCACTAGTGACTCTGCTAGTCAGCACCCAAAGGCTGGATGAGTCTGAGAAATCTCTTTTAGGCCCAAAGTATGAATGCTGAAGTCTCAAGGAAATTTTGATTCCCAGCAAGAGTTCACAAACCATCAGACCAAAATCAGTAAGGTAAACCCTGACTCTAATGCTCCACAAAAGTCAAAGGAAATTTCCAAATTAAATGCCATCCTCTGCCCAACCCTAGACTCCAGACTCTGTAACATTTTTATCTAGTATAATAGACTCTGTAGTAGACTGATTTTGACCTCCACAAAGAGTAGGAATTGTCAAACTTGAGGAGATAGACTCCTCTCCCTGGATATTGGTGGCTGCCAGCATACACTTCCTCATGACAGTCCCGTCGGTACACAGGCACGATCTCATCCAGTAGAGGCTTGCTGGCATTCTTTTTGACTTTCTCTTCACAACTGATGTTTTCTGTAGAATACAGACAAATCAATGAACAGATTCAGAAAAAACAGATTCAGGAAAACCACACTTGCATCAAGCAATTAAAATCTATCCTTTCTTTGAGAAACTGCTCTTGTTGGGAATTCTGTTGAACCATTCAACATGTTATATGTATGTAAGCATTTATTTGTTCATTCATTCATTCACTCACTCATTCAAATGCCTGATCACGTGCTACATACCAAACCTTGTACTGGGCCCTGGGAGCCCAGGGATGAACATCTAGTGGTAGCAGTGTTCAGCATCCTATCTCTCTCTGTACTTACCACCATTCCTATTTCTAGGTCCCATTTTCCCCTTTCCATATCCATTCAATTCCTAATTCATCCCCAGGAATCTCACTAATCTAAGCAACAAAATGTTGCTCTCATCATCCTTCTCCTGACCAATATGAGTCCCTCCCATTTTAGAAAGATGTAAGATGATTTGTGAGGACTACTGCTTTCTAGATATCTTAAATGTAAGGAGTAAAATTTTAAAACTCATAGTAGAGAGAGAGGCATTCAGAGATACTCTGAAAATTCAGTTATTTTCACTAGGCCAGTTTAACCCAAAGATGATCTAAGTGGCAAAAAATGAGCTCTGATTATAGGTTTGACCCAGTTAATAGTTTTAACTATTAGCTATGAGGTTAAAAAAAAAAAAAAAAAACACCTCTAGAAACCTTTAGGAATTTTGAAAATTATGAACCAGCTTTGAAGCCTCAGTTTAACTTATTTAATATAAAGCACCTCAACGAAAAGAGGTCAAGGGAATATTCAGCATAGAAGACAAGACTTTCAGGTTTATTGTTTTGTTTTTGTTTTTTCAAGAGGCTGGGACTATAGGCATGGATTTCCAGGTTTATAACATGATAGAGTGAATTCTGGCAACACAAATTAACTGAGTGATGCTTATCAATGGCCACATCAGGAATGTAAAACAAGGGAAGTCTTGAGAAATTCTCAATCTAGAGGAGATTGAGGAGATATGATGACTGACTACAATGTGGCATCCTGAAATGGATCTTGGGACATTAAGTAAAAACTAAAAACATCTGAATAAACATGGACTTTAGTTAATCCAATGTATCAATACTGTTTCATTAGCTGTGATGAGTGTACCACAGTACAATGTAAGATGCGAACAACAGAGGGAACTACTTGGTGCAGGGTATATGGGTACTCTTTGTACTATCTTTTTAACTTTTCTGTAAATCTAAAACTATTCTTAAAAGTTTATTTTTAAAAAGCAAATGGCACTCTTATAAAGGTAGGTAGAAATCAGATTTACTTTACCACAGAAATACCTACAATTAAGCATCTTTCACGTGCAAATGAGAAATAGAGAACCATTCAAAATGTACACTATTGCTTACATCCAATAAACAGACTGGTCCATTGATTCAAGATTCAAATTTTGTTCAAAATCTATAAAACTAAAGATTACTGGGAAAGATGAAAAGGCATCTTTTATCAATTTAAGCAAAGATTTAGGGCCTGTAAACAATAAAGAAAGTGGAGAATTTTAAAGCAGGCAAATGAGTTATCATCCATGCTTCTTCAGGGAAAGCAAACTCCTCTGTCTACCTTTCAAGATCTAAGGAAGAAAAAAACCAACAAACAAAAAACTCAGACTCTTCTGTCATCTGAAATTAAGCCCAAAGGACTCCTCGCAAAATGTCCATATGGACAAAACATGGTAGGACAGTAGCTTCTAAGGCATATGGACAAAGACAATTTGTGAGCTAAATCTTTAAATGGGATAAAGTTACACTCACTCAATGAACAATTCTTGCGAGTGATAAAGCCTCACTGCTATGAGGCTAAAACGTTTCAGCTGCAAATCATTTTATGATTAGAAACGGTAAAAGTATAGGCAATGCCATCTTTCATTTGAGGGACATATTGGAGCTAAAATAAGGGATAAGGTTCTCACCTCTAGAAATGGACCCCTGCCATTTTCACCAGTGCTCTTCCCAACACCAATAACCCTAAAACTCTCATTAGCTGAGGGTTCAGACTAAGGCAGTAACCGCCTTATAGAAGTTCTCTAGTAGGCAAGCCAGGAGAAATACATTACTTCAACCAATTTCTGAACAGAGAATTCTTATTCACAAAGCTTTCTTTTTTTTGGAGGGTAGGGATGGAGTGGGGTTCTGGCTCTGTCACCCAGGCTGGAGTGTAATGGCGCAATCTCAGCTCACTGCAACTTCCAACTCTCAGGCTGAAGCAATTCTTCTGCCTCAGCCTCCTGACTGGGATTACAGACGCATGCCACCCTGGCTGGCTAATTTTTGTACTTTTAGTAGAGACGAGGTTTTACTATGTTGGCCAGGCTGGTCTTGAACGCCTCACCTCTGTCTCCCAAAGTGCTGGGATTACAGGCATGAGCCACCGCACCCAGCCATCTTTTTTGTCTGTGTGACAGAGGGTGTCTGGCTCTGTGGCCCAGGCTGGAGTGATGCGACGTGATCTCAGCTCACTGCAACCTCTACCTTCTAGGCTCAAGCAATCCTCCCACCTCAGCTTCCCAAGTAGCTGGAACTACAGGTATGCACCACCACACACAGCTAATTTTTTGTATTTTTGGTAGAGACAGGGTTTTACCATGTTGCCCAGGCTGGTCTTGAACTCCTGAGCTCAAACAATCCAACTGCTCTGGCCTCCCAAAGTGCTGAGATTACAGGCAGGGGCCACCATGCCTGGCCTCACAAAGCTCTTTATAAGTACAGTAATTTGTACACATACAAAAAAACTTTCCTTCCCAGACATTTGCAAAGAGTCTGACTCTAATGAGTCTCTGTGATGCAACAGAAAGGACAGAACAGGTCTTGATGTGGTTGAGGATCACATGAGACAACAGTAGTGGATCCTGGCCAATATACGCTACAGTCCTGCTCTCTCACCACTTCTTGTTTATGTTTTTTTTTTTTTCTTTTTTAGAGGGAGGGCCTAGCTCTGTCGCTCAGGCTGGAATGCAGTGGTGTGATCATATAGCTCACTTCAGCCTCAAACTCCTGGGCTCAAAGCAATCCTCTTGCCTCAGCCTCCGAAGTACCTGGGACTACACCCAGCTAACTAAAAAAAAATGTTTTTGTAGAGATTAGTTGTCACTTCGCCAGGCGTGGTGGCTCACACTTGTAATCCAAGCACTTTGGAGGCCAAGGTGGGCGGATCACCTGAGGTCGGGAGTTCAAGACCAGCCTGACCAACATGGTGAAACCTCGTCTTAAAAAAATAAAAAGTAAAAAAAGAGAGATTAGTTGTCACTTTACGAAATGGGTTGCCCAGGGTGGTCTTAAACTTCTGGCCTCAAGAGCTCTTCCTTCTTTGGCCTCCCCAAAAGCTGGGATTATAGACGTAAGCCACCATGCCCAGCCATGCTTTTTCAACCTTAACATTTTTTTCTTCCTGTTTCAGTTGTATTTATTTCAGTCGTATTTTCTTCCTGTTTCAGTAGTATTTATGGGCAATGCTTTAACTTGCTGGTGGTACTCAGGAATAAAGATTGATGAAAACAAAATGCCATGTTAAAGACAAAGCAGTTCATGCTTCCATATTTACCAGCTAGAATCTGGACCTGTAGTATAATGAAGGATTTTAAATCTGCTTCTGGGGTGAGAGTCAATCTGCAAGATGTGCTGAAATTTCTTGGATACTCTGGTAGTTCACGTAGATAATGGCAAAGAGTCATCTTTGGACTATCTTTTGACTAGCATTAAATACTAACTGCTAAACTGAATATTAAACTTAATTTCAAGAGATGTTATGGCACACCTGCTGTGTATGTTTCTGTAGATAGCCCCAGAGGCCTCAGGGTGCAGAAATATGATTGGAAAACTCTGTACTTAAAAAGTTGACAGGCCTTTCAGGCTTATTCCATGTACTTCCAACAATATCTCTTTAACTTTATCCCACTATAATCTATAAAGCAACATTGCCAAGCCTCTTCAAGAATAAGCAGTCTGTTTATAAGCCGCCCGAAAGGTCAGTTAGACCAGAAGAACTGAAACATGGTGCTATTCCATTTTCACAGGGCACGCATTCCACATCACTCTCAATCAAGTCAATAAATTAAGTGCTTATTAAGTGTTTATAAGCAAGCCCTACATTCTAACTTTTCTGGGAAACAAAAATAAAGAGACGATCTTCTCAAAAAGCAACACATTTATACCTATTTCTTAGACGAAGATATTTTAGACTGTCCTTTAAAACACCCACTTTTGTCTACATATTCAGAGAAAATAAAAAAAATTCCACAAGCAAAATAGGGATTTCTAAATGGAAGAATAATTGAAAATTTTTTTTTTTTTTTTTTTTGGGACGGAGTTTCACTCACGTTACCCAGGCTGGAGTGCAATGGCGCGATCTCGGCTCACCGCAACCTCCGCCTCCTGGG